AAAAATGATGTATTTGTACAATTTTGATAATTTAAAAAATTAATTTGCAAAAGTTTATAGATGAGGGAGTAAAGTAATACTCGTTAATAATTGAGGAGATTTTGGTATAATTAATTCTTAATTTTTTTAATGACTATTTTTGTCATTTTTTTTAGTGAACTTCTAAAAAAATAAAAATTAAAAATTACACTTTTAAATTCTACTTGAGTAAATGAACCAGAAAAGTTAAAAATAAATTAAAATTTTTAAAAAAAATCAAGAAAAGAAAAGAAAAGAACTAAAATAAGTTGGCGTTTTAGCTTTTTAATGTCCTTTTTTTTATCTTTAGTATTTTTTTATTTTTTTAAAAGTCAATTTATCAACTAATAAAGGCCAATTTTGCTTAAAAAGAATAACATAATTGTCAAATTTATATCCCATATATATATATATATATATATATATATATAAATCACTTTAACTATTTAAAAAATTACTTAAAAAGTCAAACAATTAAGAGTATATCAAGCAAATTAATTTTTTAAGCGTTAAATGTTATAGACTTATTTTTAACTAATAAATTAGTATTTTGGCTTATTTTGAGAAGTAAGTTAAAAATTAGACTTTTGATTTTTTTTTAACTTTTTTTTTACATATATAAAAAAATATAGAAGTGATGTACCTAAAAAAAAATTAAAAAATCAAGAAATTAAATTTTAACCGTGTTGCCAATCCAAAAAAGCCTCACTGACAATTTTAGAAAATAAGTTAAAAATTAGACTTTTGATTTTTTTTAAAATTTTTTTTTTACATATATAAAAAAATATAGAAGTGATGTACCTAAAAAAAAATTAAAAAATCAAGAAATTAAATTTTAACCGTGTTGCCAATCCAAAAAAGCCTCACTGACAAATATATTAGGAAATGTTGAGCATTTTTTATTTTTTAATATTAATTTGATTGATTACCATTTGAATTTAATTGATTATTATTATTATTTTCAAAAGATACCATTTAGGATTTATTTTTTAACAATGTTACATCTATCGTATTCTGGCTCGTCTAAATTGTTTAAATTTGTGCATGTCGATCGTTCAGGCAATCATTCGAAAAGATGCTGGTCATCCAGACAAATGCTAATTGACACACCGAATGACAAGGGTGACAAGTTGACAAGGGTAACAATGACGGTTGACAAGAGTTACAACCACGATTGACAAGAGTTGCGCTGGTTATCCAGCCGATAGTCTAGACAATTGTCTGGCCACGTCATTTAGACAGAATCGGATTACTTCTATTTCAGTGGACCAAATATTTTTATTTTGGATAAATTACACTTACACCTCCTGAGCTTTGGGTTTAATACATATCACCCATGACATTTGAGAAATTACACTGAGCCCCTATCATTGTAATTATTTATACGAAATTAACGTTAGTATTAAAAAGATATTGCATTCATACACTCTCTCTTTTCTTGTTTTGTTTTACTTTCTTTCATTTACTTTATTTTTTTTAATGTAATTTTTTATATTTTTTATCAGGAGTTGTTACCTTTTATATAAGTATAAAATTTATGAAATAAAACTATTAATCAGAAATGTAAAAATATAATTCCTATAATGTCAAGAAATGAGTTACTATTAAATTAAATCTCAGAGAGGTTTACCTTTTTATTTTTATTTTTATTTTTATAGGAGTATGAATTAATCTACTATATCATGGGGGTCCCACAAATTGTCACACTTTACCATTTGTTACATCAACAGGGTTTGATTGGTCATGGTGACTCATTGAGTATTCCCATGAGTATTTATATATTATTTTGGGTCTTTGCTTTGTTTTGTCCTTTCAATATTTCAATTTTTTTAATTTGTTTCGGTAGTTGAGGTAGGATTGGGTGGTACAATATGCAACTACGATATTCTGTTGGGGATTGCTGACCTTTGAAAACGACATGGATTTCATATTTTAGTGGGTCCACTTGATTGCATCAATATCAATCACTTGAGTGATCTTTTCGATGCTGAGATTTGATCCAATTAAAGAGGGATAGTTTGGGCCTAATGCTTGTGGGCTTTGAATTTGAATAATTGCTCTCATTTTTTGGACCATTTTGTTTTGTTTTGTTTTGTTTTCAAGTGGGCCTTTGTTTAAAACATGAAAAATTGTTCAATTTGAATTTTGATGGCATTAATACAGATATGATTATTTACTTGTTGAATACTATGCATTTTAAAAATGATTCAAAAATAAAAATATGTGGATTAAGTTTATCTTTTCAATGTAATTCATATCATATCAAAATTTAAATTTGTATCATAGAGTTTATTTCTAGGATACATAATTTTTTTGTATTTACTTTTGCATCAATTTAATTTTTTTAGAAAGGTTTGTTTGTATAAATGAGTAAAGGGTTGCTCAATTTATCTTCTAGTTTTTTTTTTTGTTTTTTGTTTTTTTTTTTGTTTTTTGATAGTAGAATCAAGGACAATCTTTCTTCTAATTAAGACAATAAAATTATGATGAAAAATTTGACATGTTCATTACAATTAGTAGTATGAATATTTACCCATCTGAATTAGGACATGGGATTTTATTTTTTTATTTTTTATTTTTTATTTTTTTGAGACAGACGATCTCATTCTCCAACAAAAGATATACAGAAGTCCAGTAGCTATGAATGTTCGTGACCCATGTGAAGGCAAAAATTGATTGACACCCAATTATAGGAGAGTCCATTTTGGGAATAATTTTTTTTTTGAAAAGTCATGTATGCTTTACCTCTCCTCTATATTTTATCTTTTCATATCTGTTCATATTTTTTTTGTGAGTTCTAATCCAAGTATACATAGGTGATTCGAACTGTATGGGAGAGAAATATTCGCCTCGCTCCGCACCTCTTTACTACCAAGCTCGTCTCACTCTGTTAGGACCTATTGTATACTGTGAACAAGACAAATGCGAGCTACCTGGCGGGTGAGTTTGTCGAAAAAACCCCTTCGACGGTTAAGTTAGCTTTTTGGAGAAGAGGGAAGGCAGAGCACTGTAAAGAAAGAGAGAGTTCGAAATTGCTTACCTCCAACGTATGCATGCTCCTCATTTTTAAGGCTGGCCATGCAATCTTAGGAATTGTGAACGTACTACCTCTGCTGTCTTTCCTTGGACAAGCGGCTATACTCACCTCTACATTTATTTTATGTGTAGAGACCAAAACCACCAAACAGTGTTTGTCGCACCACCAAACGGTGTTGACGCATACCAGGAGTGGATTCCTCTCTTCTTGTTATTGGTCCACATAGAATACTTGACCGAACCATTAGTTGGCGATAAACAGTGCCAACTCCGACCTCCCTGATGCTGAGCTAAATTAGATCGACTGTTCCTTCAGCGTCAAGGCCGAATTCCGTCAAATCTGATCTCCCTTATGTCGGGTTAGATGCGGATGACCAGTAGCTTGGTCATCAAGTAGTTCCCATCCCTTTAGGTTGGTCGACCAAGGGCGTACTGTCCACCCTCCCAGTTAAGATGATCACTTCGGCCAAGCGATGAATTTGGCCCAAAAGGTATGCCGTTCTGTATTTGCTCGGCCCAACACCATTCCCTTGTCGATCCAAGCCCAATGGACGACATAATCTTTCTGTACCTAGACCGGCTCGATGCCCAGCCCCAATGCTTGGCGTAAATCCCCCTCTCACGAGCCATCTGCTTTGTAGACCTCATAATAAAGGTCATTCATGTAAAAAAATTAGCTACATTGAATAACTATGAATACATAAATAAATTACATTTTATTTTATAAAATTGATAATTTAAGTTTACAATCATATTTTTCGTTTATTTTATAAAATAAAAATGTGATTTGTTCATGTATTTATATATGCCCGATGAAATTATTTTTTTGCATGAATAACCTTTATTACGGGGTCTACAACGAGTTAGACGATTCGAATAATCAGTATAGGCCCAAATTAGTGCCCACAAAAGAAATATGAAGAGGTACAAAAAGATAAAAGTATAGAAAGGAGCTCATCTCAGTTAGTTACTTTGAAAAAAAAACAGTAAAAATAAAATATATAGTGCATATTTAAATTTGGAGTGAATTTCCAATGCTAAACTTCAATTGGAAATTCTCGTTGACTTTATTGGAAATGGAATTAGATCGTGTCTGTTTAGTATTAACTTTTTTTTTATTATAATTTTTTTTAGTTAATGCATTTAAGAAGTTATTAAAAAAAAAATTATTTGTCATGAGAGAAAAAAAATAATGTGACATTTACCGTTTTTTAACATTTTAATGTTTTGACTTTTCTAAGAGCAGCTGACTTTTTTGAGTGTGTGCGTTGCCAAACTAGAGGATCAAACCTCTCTTGATTGGAAAAATTGAAATACATCATAATAAATTTGACTTAAATATATTATTTTTTAGGATAATTTTTGTGCGGTAGTGCTACGTGTACCAATTAGTATACACTTGTATATCAACTATTATTATAATATCATTAATGACTCTATTTATTATATAAGTTACAAATATCAAAAACTTCTAAAATTATGCCACATCATCTGTTGATACGCTAGTATGTAATATTAAAATGTTTTAAACTTCCATAATGGTTCTTAATTGAGTCTATTAATTAATTGCACGGTTTCATTAACCCTAAAAATAGATATATATATATATATATATATATTGAAGTCATAAAAGGTGAAGGTTGATTCTAACGTACCTCTCACTAGAGTAATGTTACGTACACAAAATTGAACACAGAAAAATTCTCAGAATATTTAATGTAAGACTGAAATTCTTGGTCACTCCATGCTTATATATACATTAAAAAATAAATATACAAGCATTCATATTTATACACGCCTATACTGTTTAATTCACGTTGTTTATAATTCTGCTTCTTCTTTTTTTCTTTTTTTTTATTTATATTTTTTAAAGTATTTGAAACATGTGTGATGCCATGTTGTTGGTTTGGTTATACATGAATGATTAATGAAGGTGGATTCATACAATGAAGAAGAAGGAATCAAGAAGAATATTGGTGATCTTGTGTATATTTTTCTTCATTCTAATTTTCATATATCAGATTGAGTTCTCTTCAATCTCTCAGCTGAGTACTGCAAATTCAACAAGGAGTCATCAAGGTATATATATATTTTTTTCTCTCCATCTTTTCATGCTTGATTATACATATAATTTAAATTATATCCTCCCTTCATCCCAAATTATTTATGAATTTTCAACATTCATGCCTTTAATCGGGTTAGTAAATAATATATTTTCACAAACCAAAAAAAAAAAAAACATTTTTTTTCTTCTACAAATTAAAATATCTGAATAAATAAAATTTTCAAAAATCATTGAGAAATTAATAAATATTAAAAAGTGTAAACGATTGTTTTAGATCTTTGAAATAGTGAAAATGGACAAATAATTTGAGACGAAAGAAGTATATATATACATATCAAGTTCATTTTGAGCAATTCACAACAAGTTTAAATTTACATCGCATATTTAGCATTACGTTTTCTTTTCTTTTCTTTTTTTGGGTGCAAATTTTATTAGTCTCTTCTTTTTGTTAAGCACTTATACACACTTGTTTTTGGTTAAATTAAAGCATGAAAATTCTCTATTAATTTATTCATAATTTTTTATTTTATTATTAGATTTGCTTCAATAACTATTAATCTATACACTTACTATGAGACCCACATTCTTCAGCAATTCACACTCCATTGCCAAGCCCAATCAAGTGCAACAGGTCCTATTCTAACTATCGTATCTGCTCACTCAGCAGCCCAACTGTGCTGGATCCAAAACTGGCCACTTTTTATGCTGTGGGCCCAACAAACTTGCTGGAAAAAGACGAGCCTTACTCTAAAAAATGGGCGAATTTCACAGTGGCCCAAATCAAAGATGTCACTCTCACATCCGGCCCACAAAGCCCACCATGCATGATCCAACACAATGCCCCAGCCCTAGCATTCAGTGCAGGTGGGTGCACCGGAAGCTTCTTCCATGAGTTCAATGATCGGTTCATCCCACTCTTCATCACCGTCAATTCAGTATTCTCTAATGATGAGGATCCTATCCTTGTAATCTCCAAATCATGCAATTGGTGGCTTCGAAAGTTTGCAAGTTTGCTTCGGAGTTTCAGCAAGCACCAGATTATAAACCTCGATAATGATACTACCACTCACTGTTTCCCTTCTGTCACGATAGGCCTCTTGTCACATGGTTTCATGACTATTGACCCAAAATTAATACCAAATCAAAAAACCTTGTTGCATTTCCATGCAATGCTAGAGAAAACCTATGGTGGCCAAAACCATCCTTTCATTTCCAACCTCTCTCTCAAATCCCGGCCGCGCCTTGTGCTGATGAGCCGTAGCGGTAGCATTGGCCGTGTGATCTTGAATAGGGTCGATGTGAAAAGGGCAGCAGAGAAGGAAGGTTTCCACGTCATCGAATTCGAACCGAAATTTGAGACTCCATTGGATGAAGTGTACACTATGATAAGTTCAAGCCATGCAATCGTAGGGGTGCATGGTGCGGCACTCACTAACTTCTTGTTTCTTCGGCCTGGGGCGGTAGTAGTGCAAGTGGTGGCGATTGGATTGGAGTGGATAGCAGAGGAATGCTTCGGGAAGTCGGCTCGGGAATTAGGGTTGGAATACATGGAGTATAAGATTGGAGTGGAGGAGAGTAGCCTAGGAGAGAAGTATGGGAAGGATGATGTGCTGATAAAGGATCCAATGTCCTTACAAAAGAAGGGTTGGTCCAGAGAAATTATGGACATTTACTTAGAGCAACAAAATGTGAAATTGGATTTGGTTAGGTTTAGGAAATATTTGAAGAAAGCATATGAAAAGGCAATTATCTCCATGGAAAAAAATGGTGAGCATGTGTCATGATGAAAGAGTCATATTACTCTACCTGTGTGTGATTGATTTTGTGTTTTAAACTCATTGGTCTGTAAATATTAATGGTGATTGAGTATCATGTTAAAATTCAAATATATTCCAATAATCCAAGATATTTAAAGCATCATTATTATATAATTTTTACCCCCATAATTTTCCACAAATCACCTTAAAGTCCAACCTAGAATAAAAAAAAATGAAACCTTCATGGCCTTAAAAACAAAATGCCTCTTGATTAAACAGAGATATAATTAAGATCATAGATTATTTGAGATAAGAACCACAAATCTAAAGCCCAAAAAATAAAAGATTTCATTTTGATTAATATTTTTTAACATATCTAATTATTTTTCTTGTAAATGAATAAACAAAGTCACAAGTGCTGTTTCATATAGATTTAGCTATTATATATGAAGTAACTTACAGTAGTAATGAATTCTGACAATTAATTTAATAAGACTCCTTAAATTTGACATATATGAGGTATGAAATCTAACAATTTTTTTCTTAAACTCAGCATTGAATGAGCATACTAAATCTTTCATCTTCAATATAAAAAAAAACAAAACAAAACAAAACAAAACAAAACAAAACAAAACAAAAAACAAAAGAAAAGAAAAAGTGAACATAGATTGAAAAAAGAAAAAAAAAAAATCAAGGTGCACCAACTGCAATTCAAACATTTTACCCTTGTGTGTTATTTCAAATGAGTATAGGAATACAGATAGATACAGAAAAATACATATACATTGGGACATGGATGTTTTTCAGAAGTAGGTTCTATCAATAAATCTTGTAAAATTTTAACCAGCCATGTATTTTTGGTGCTCAATTCTATTTGTAATGTATGTGTTCTTAGAATTACTAGTGTTACTTTTACAGAGTGATTGCAACATAAAAATTAAAGATTTATGACACAAACCATATGGACTAATCTATAAATACGAAATTTTATTAGTTCATAGTAATTTCAATAAAACAGAGAATTAAATGCATAGAAAAGAGAAATTGGAAAAAATACCTAAAAAGGTTAATTTGATACATTCCTCTTGAAAATTGATGGCCACATACTATTTAAATCTCAACAATTACAAACAACCTTTTTTTTTTCTTTTTTTTTTTAAAATAACTATTTCTGTCAAGTTGAATTATGAAGTGATTTAAACAAACTTTTACTCCATGCCCTGTATGGCTCAATATAATTTGGCATGAACTCTTATGGTTTATGAAAATAATCCTAAATAGCATATTTGGAAGAACATTATATAAGAAAGTCACAGGAATATGAGACCAAACAAGGGATGAACCCAACTAAACTCTACCAGACAATGTCGAGCATTACAAATTTTAAAATCTTTTAATTTTATTTATTTATTATTACTTGCTCAAGATAGAGCCCTATAATGTAAATCCCAGCTACTGACATTCACCAGCGAACCCATAATTCCTAAGGCATAAAAACAAACACACTTCAAATTGATCTTATAATCAAAACACAAAACAAACAATTGTTTGGTGTTGTAAACAAAGTAATAATAACAGCTATTTATTTTTCAGTCCAGCTTGTCTTCAGTTGGTGATCAAGACTGGACTGTCCAGTCCGGCCCTTTTTCGATAATTTGAACCGTTAAATGTGTAGAACTCGTCGAGTACTATATTCTTGTAAAAAATCACATTGATCAGATATCAATAACTATTTGATCAGATCAGTATTAAACGGTTTAAATTAACGAAACGGAACAAAAACATGGACCCACGGGCCAAACTAGACGGTCCAGTCTTGATCTCCAATTAGAGACAAGCTGGACCCTTTATTTTTTAAATAGTCAATGGGATTCGAACCGAAGCATCTACTACACAATAACTATCACAGTGATGTTACATGCACCAATTAGTGTATTAATTAATATACCAACACTAGTTATGACATTATTATTGACCCCACCCATTATACAAATTACAAATACCAAAATATCTTAAATTATGCAACATCATCAATTGGTACACTATTTAGTATATTAATTGATACATATAGCATTATTCTAACTATCATATTACCACTAAACCCAAGACACCAGTTCATAATAACCACTACTTACATATATGATGTATAATTCAAAGTAACTTGGTAATAAATCCAGGCTATTTAATGAGACTACTTAAATTTGAAGCTTGGGGAAGTAAATTTAACATAACTTAATTAAACCTAGCCATTCAATGAATTTGCTAAAACTTTCAGCATATTGAAACTGCAAAGGTCACAAAAACAAAAATTCAGTGGGCGTCAAGCATTATTGCATATCCTTGTGGGGTACTACTATTTTCAAGTAATCCATTCCGGTTAGCACTTCCCTCTCCATGTTATCTCAATACCATTCAGAGTAATTTCTATTTTCTTGGTTTTCTTTCTTTGTTGTTTTCATATGCAAAAGTAATATGGTTACTTTTAGGTTCAAGTAATATATACGACAGTTTTAGGCTTTGTTTGAATGTTGGATTTGTAAATGGATTTATGAAGGGAAAAGAAAGAGAAAAGTGAATGAATTATAAGCTAATTTCTTTTCACTTTGCTCTTTCCTTTTCCTTCACAATTTTTTCTTCACAAATCCAAGATTCAAAAACAACATTAAGGCACAACTCCTACAAGATTGCCTAGTCATCAAGAGATCAAACAACCATAATAATCTGAAGAAAAAAAGTGTTTATCAATGCAATTTTTGTAGAAATGCTTACTAAGAACAACAATTCACATGACAGACAAGTGAATTTTAGAAGTGGGGTTTTAATCAGTTGAATTAGTGTTTTAGGTTGTCATGTATATCAAAATGTAATGAGTGTACACTGCTTAATTTGTTCATATAGATTTCTTATGACATATTAATAGAAGATCTTTTTCTTTTTCTTTTTTCTTTTTTCTTTTGGTTAGATAAATCAAAAAGTATCCAAAAAGTAGGTGTTCCTTTCACTTATTACAGCCTTTATTAATTGTTAATATAGTAGCATCTCTTTTTCTTCTTTTCCTTTCTTTAAATTTGCAAAATATAGACATATACACATAGAACAAAACACTGGGAGAGTCCAGAGACCACTTGATCAAACACAAGTCATATAGCAATAGAGATATTACATCTAAATCCAATTCCTAGATTTGCTTATCAACTAAGCAAGGAAGATAAAATATGTGTCACACATACAAATACGCACATGCATACACACGCTGAGAGGAGAGATAAAGATGGGAACCAAACTTTTCCACAAAACCATTTCAACCTACGGAAGCATTTGACAAATTAGTTTCACCTAAGTTCCAATATATCTAAAATTATTTTTATCTGATGAAAACAAAAAGTCCATGCATATTCCACATGTCAAATGTATAAAATGAAAAAATATCAAATAAATCCCACCTATATTTACTGAGACTGTTTTAAACTGCATATTGGATTGTAAATTAAACTGCATTAGTAATTAATACCCTAGCCATTGAATGAGGTGGTTTAAAGTATTTTGCTTTAATGAAACCTAAATAGCCAAGAAATTGCAAGGTGCATATCTACTGCAGTCACTCTGCATTACCCACAGCTAACAGGGGAGTATGCTTATGTAAAACCAATCAGGTTGGTTTTCATATCACTGAAATTTCCATTTTCGCATCTTTTTCTATTTTGTTTGGTTCATGGGTCAACTATATTAAGAGATTCCATAGCAATATATATATATATATATATATCAATGAAAATATTGAACTGCCTTGTATGATTCCATAACCAAGCCATTATGTTGACATTGCAAGTGATTTTTGTGATTAGATGCTCTCCCTGCTTCTTTGTTATATAAGCATATTGTTTGCTGTAGTTTAGAAAATTTATGCATTAAATTGCAAATTTAGAACAACAGTGATTGCTTTCTCTAGGATTTTATAGGTATCATATCAATTTTCTCCAATCCAGTTTGGTGAATACCTATCTTGTTTGGCCAATCTAAACATAATTTATGGTTTTTTGTATCACGGGTTTTCTTGCCAAAAAAAAAAAAACTCTACTTTTATTGATTTTATTGCCAGGTTGGTCAATATATAACCCATTTAATGCGGAAAATTTCATAAGAACGTATTGCCTTTACACTGTTATATGAATAGGTAATGAATGTCATATATATATATATATATATATGTATGATTTTAAAATAGATCATTTATTTATTTAAAGATGAATCTGATAAAATTATAAGAATATAATTATCGAAACAATCTATTTTTTACGGCCGATGATCCACAAAAGAGGTGATCACCAAAGTGGGACCCACTCCACAGATTCAACTAAACTTTCCAACCAGACCAGACTACACTTCTCTTCAACTCAGTCCCAACATAAAATCGTCTTTGATAATGTTGAGTTTTTATGATTATTTCTTCTGTTTTCTAACAGAAAAGGAATGCCTAGTGGTATGGTTGCTGAAACACTATGAGCAAGATTTGAATTGAAAGTTTGAAGTTCCACAGATTTCATCCACATAACCTTCAACAATTATGCCTGAAGCTCCACATTTGCGAGTGTCCAAGAAATCAAAAGTTTCAGCGACTGTTGCTGTGTGTTCAGCACTTGTGGTTTTTCTCTATCTCTTTGCCATCACTAACACATTGTCCAGAATAACTACAAGTTCAACAAGGATTCAAGGTATGTTTTCACATCTCCAATTCATGCCGATTTGTGGAGAAAAGGGAAAAGGAAAAACATGGGAAAAGAAAATAAAGCAAAAGAATCTAAATATTTTTCTATTGTTTGGATAGATTTTTAGGGAAAATGAGAAGAATATGTTTAATATATATAGATAAAAATAAAATAAAAATACAGTGCAAAAGGTTGTAGCATTTTTTTTCAATAAAAATACTAACCATTATCTTCTTTGTCTATGTATAGAACAGAAATGGAGTTGGGAGAGCCCAGAGTCCACACGGGCAATCAGCTGTGACCGTACTCATTTTGAATATGACATGTGCTATCTCAAGCATCCAACCATCATGGATCCAACGTCTGCAATTTTTTTCACAGAGGACCCCACTAACTCGACCCCACAATTGATGGAGAAGATCCGTCCTTTTCCTCGTAACTTTAAACACACACCGATTAATGTCGTGAGGCAGCTCACTCTCACCACAGCCCCACCCAATGTTTCTTGTGCGGTCACACACACTAGTCCAGCCCTAGTATTCAATGCAGGAGGTGACTGGACCACAAATTACTACCATAGCTTCAACGAAATCTTCATTCCGCTCTTCATCACCGTTGATACATTCTTCCCCGATCATGATTTCGTCATTGGGATCTTCAACTGTAGTCATGGGTGGGTCCACCACTACAACGACATATTATCAACCTACACCCGCCACCAGATCATCGACTTCAACCAAGAAACAGCTACCCATTGCTTCCCATCAGCAATCGTAGGACTCATATCGCACGGTGCCTCAACCGTGGACCCCACATTACAACGTAGACCCCATCCCAAGTCTCTGCTTGATTTTCGTGCCTTTTTGACAGCTAAATACTCCCAAAGCCACCATGCACCACCACCACCCTGGACCTCGAAAGGAAAACCCAGGCTTGTGTTTCTGAACCGCAATGGCACCCGCGGGATCCTCAACGTGGACAACATCAGGCGGGCTGCGGAGGACACGGGGTTCGAGGTGTTTATTTTCGAGCCCAGCAGAGAGTCCTCAATGCATGAAGCTTTTAGGGTCATCGATAGTAGCCATGCAATGATAGCAGTGCATGGCGCTGGACTAACCAACATGGTGTTCCAGCGGCCTGGTTCGGTGTTGATGCAGATGGTGCCAGCGGAGTGCTACTGGTTGGCGAGCCTATGCTACGGAAAAATGGCAGTTCGGTTTGGATTAGAGTATATAGTTTACAACATTGACCAGGATGAGACTGTATCTGAATGGGACAAAACTAGAGGTGTTGTTCCTCTGGAGAACTGGATAAATAACAAGGAAGGCTTACAATTCAAGTTAGACTTAGTTAAGGTTAAGAGGCATCTAAAGAGAGTTTATGAGAGAGCTAAGAAATTCATGCACAAAGAAAGTTTAAGTAGTAGTTATAAAATAAAGCTAAGCTGGGGACAAAAGTAAGAAGAAAATAAAGAATACAAAATAATCTATATGTTATATTGGGGAAATTCAAAATCTTAATCCTATTCTTTGCACTCTGTGTATGATCATGAAATGAAACCTGCCTCAGTTGTACTTTCAGTTTCTTGTACTAAGTATTTATGATATTAATGAAGTTCTTATTGGGCAAAAATAATTTAAAGTATATCTTTTCACGTCTTTATTTTAATTATTAAAATGTGTTTTCGATGAGATTTTCAATCAACTAAGCAAAACAAAGCAATGAACATTAGTATCAATTTCACAAAGCTTGGTCTCACGGCTAACATATAAGAGTTATGCTATAAAAAGTGTCAACGATTATCCATTGAGAATTGATATACTTGCCACAATACATGTCTAGTCACAAATCCTAGAGAAAATTTGTACCAAGAACAGCTTAAGTAAAACCCCCCAATCAACAGTGGGATTACACTAAACTTACTTAGAAAGAATTATCTTGGGAACTTGTATTTGAAATATTGCAAGGCCGGGGGACCCTATTGATTGTGTCACATGTATCAATTGTTTTTCTCACCTTGTTGAGAATCGGGCAATGTTCAGTTGAATCATTGAGAGAAAGAGAGGAGGAGAAAGCTATAGATTACATGATTTTTTTTGGGTAAATTATCAATATCCTCTGAGGTTTGCTTAAAATACATATTGTCCCTTGTGGTTTGAAAAATTACAAATACCCTCTTATTAGAATTTTTATTTAACAAAATTAACTAAAAAAATAAAATTCATAATTGTTCTCCTATATAATAATAAAATTACCTAAATTATTAATTGAAACATATTTTTAATATTATTAAAAACTGTTAACTGACTTGATGATTTATTAATAAAATGAATGATTTGTTATGAAATTAGAAATCTCAGAGAGGGGTGAAATATAATTTTCAAAATCACAGAGAGCGATTCGTATTTTAATCAAATTTCAAGGGATGTCTTTTTTTTTATCGACAAGATTGATTGATTTGACATTCTAAATTTCTAATCACTATATTAGTCAAATTTGATTCCTGAAACCACACAAATAAAATGTATCATCTTGATTACCATACGACATTATTATTTCTTAAAAATGTTTCGATCTTATCACCACAAATGTGTAATTGCTCTAAATTTCTTCATAGACAACACAAACTCTGCTGGATAATACATTTTTCTATTTTAAAAAAAAGATTGGAAATAAAATAAATAAATAAAAATTGATCCTAAAACTAACTTATAGAAAACAACCGACACAAAGAGGCTCTACCAGAAAACTTTAAGCATAAAAGACTACACCTAGGTGCTTTTTGAATTAAAGACCACACATCCCCACCCCAAGGGAATCCTTCCCAACATCATTAGCAAGTTTAATTTTGCTTCAAAACTAACCATACCAAACCAAACAAAGCATTGTGTCCCAATATCAAGTGCAATCCGCCATATGAATCGTTTTTCGCCATTTAACTTTATCAAGGTTATATGCTCAATTAAATTAAATTAATTTATATATTTTTTCACTACTGCATCCCAAGTCAACTTAGGTCAGCTTAGGTCTCTCCCTAGCATCTCCATTTATAGTGATCCTATTAGTTTCCCTTACTGTCGCATTCACAAATAGTGTTCTACATGACCAAATCATAACTTGTTCTGTGACGATCCCACCACGTATAATAATTAGCATTTAATTAATTAATGAGATTTGAATTTTTAATTGCCTATTATTCTCATTTAATTTGGGATTTATGAAAATTATGGAAACTGATTCGTATATAATTTTATTAAGGATTTATTTTGGAATTAGAAATTAAAAGCTTAAGTGACTCAAGAATGTGAAATTGACGAATTGAATTATTTTAATTTTGGGTATCGGACCATATGGGGGTTTAATTAAATATTCAATTCAGTTTAGTAAAATTGGGATTCGATTAATAAGGTCCAAATTGGAGTTAATTAAATTATGAGAATTGAGAATTGTAATTACTATGAATTAAATTTATTCATGCGGTCTCCAATTTGAATATGTAATTTATTAACGGAAATTTGAGTCTAATTAGAAATTGAAGGAAGGCCTAAATGGTTTGGAAAATCAAAATTGATGATGACAATAAGTTTAATTTAATATTTGAAACTGAAGTCTGATTAAAAATCTGATTCAGAATGGTAAAAATTAAATATAATTAATTGGGTCTTAATTGAAGCCAAATAGACTAATTAAATTATATGGGATTTGTGATTTGATTAATCAAGATTAATTAAGATTAAATGGTGTTCAATTAAATTAAAATGTAATTGATTTATTTTTTTTATAAAATTATAATGCAAAAGGGGATGTTGGTGTGCTTTGGAAAGTACAAGGCAACAATGCTTTATGCATATATATACATCATCAAGTCATAGTTAGGGATGGCAATTTGAAACTGACTTGACGGGGACCTGATCCCTGGACCCTGATTTGAACGATTTTTTTCCAAAAAATACCTCCGACGGGACGGAGATGGTATTAAAAAATCAATCCTCGATTAATTTCGGGTCAGGGACGGTGATAAGTGTCCCGGCCCCGGTTGTCCCCGAAGTGGTATATAGATATATATATTTTGATTCAGCAAAGAAATTTTTTATTAATGATGAAGCCATACATAACATATGGGAGTTCAAAAATACGGATGAGAAAGAAAAAAGAAGAAAAAAGGATAATCAAGCATAGTGTTGGTGAGAAACCAACACTAGCTCACAGGACCACAAACATTCCTAGCAGTGAGCAGATCAACAGCAGAGCAGATCAGCAACCAGAAAACCACAATCTAGAACATTGACAGCAGAAGAATAGCAGATTCACCTAGAACAAAATCTGACCAAGAGCAACACTCCATACACAAGACCAATATCACAGTGACACAACACCAAAAAGGCCAGCAAAAGGCCACATAGTGACACAGCAAAAGGCCAGCAGATTCACCAAAAAGGCCAACAGATTCACCTCAACAACCAGCAAAAGGCCATACAGTGACACAACACCAAAGGCACACAGCAAAGTTACCAGTTCTAGCAGATACACAACCTCCACAAAATATAACCAAAGCCAGAACATTGACAGCAGAAGAATAGCAACCACTAACACATTAGCATCAGCCTCACAAATATATCAGCAGCCTCAATGTAATGCAGATTCACCTGGAACAAAATCTAACCCAGAGGCATACAGTAGAGCTACTAGTTCTAGCAGATACACAGCACAAACTAGTAAACCAACAACCAGTAAAAGGAACAGTACAACCTAGATACACAGCACAACCAGTAAATCAACAACCTAGCAGACACCAAAATCCTAGATAGATACAGCACTGAGACAGATAGATACACAGTCAACAGACAGATACCCAGCCAGGATTAAAACAGGTGTTACCCAAACCAGTAATCCACCAAACCAACAGATAACAAACTGCCACCCAAAACACCACAAACAGTAACAAGCAAATTACAGACCAGCTCATAACACATGGTGGCAAACCAGCAGGTGTTACCCAAACCAGCACAGCCTGGGGTGAAACAGTTGTTCACCAAACCAGCAAATCAGCAGACCAACAAAATCCAAAATTCAAAAAGCCCCCAAAACACCCAAACAGCAGCCAGCATATGACAGAACAAATCTCAGCTGCAATCCTTAATCTGTTCTAGATTGTTGATTATGTCCATGACAGAGTACATGATCCCATTTGATGAAGTTTTAACCCAAAGAGCAAATCTAACCTTAATAGTTTCACATAACTCAAACCCACTAGGCTAGACTCTATTAAATACACAATCATTTCTTAACTTCCAAATGGACCAGAGAACAATAGAAGGTAATGCCCTCCATAACCTCCTAACCAATTTCTTATAATTCCAGCCTAACCACCGCTAGAATAAGCAATTAATAGACTTTGGCATTACCCACAAACACCCCCAATAATGCATCAAATCAGACCAAACTTTCCATGAAAATAAACATTGTAGCAGAATATATATAGCAGATTCATTTTCACTTTTGCAAAAAGCACATAAAACAGAAGCACTACTATTAAGGGCACCAACATGTTGTAAAAAAACCCCAGTTTTAACTCTATTCCTCCAAGCCAACCAACTAAAAAATTGAACTTTTGAGGGAATACCATTGTTCCAAATAAACTTACAAATTTTGATATGAGGGCCCAAAAGGAAATCACTGAACCTATAGATATTAGATACCTTAAAGTTACCTCCAATAGAACCATTCCAAATAGGACAGTCTTCAACATCAGGACTTAGAGAAGGGGTCTCCCTCAATGCTGCCACTAACCTATTGACCTCTGCTTTCTCTCAATCATATAACACCCTTCTGAAGGCAAAGCTCCACTCCACGAAGCTAGATTTCCTCTCTGAAAAATAAGACAGTGTGCCCTCCTTGTCATTTGACAAACTAAAGAGTCTAGGAAACTCATCTTTAAGGTACCTATTTCCAACCCACTTATCAAACCAAAACTTAATTCTATGCCCATTCCCAACCTTTATCTGATACTGCCCCAAAGAACTCCACTAGAGGTTGATTATGACCTACAATTGAAAGAACATCTCTCCAAATTCTAGATTGTCTAGATGATGAGTGCACATGTGGTATCCAACTAGCCTCCTCAATCATGTGCTTACTGCGCACCAATTTTCTCCATAGAGCATTTACTTCACTTCCAAATTTCCACCACCATTTAATAAGTAAAGTTACATTGACATCCTTAATTCTCCTAATCCCTAGTCCTCCTTGATTCATATTTTTGGATACTTCCACCCAATTCACCAGATGAACCTTCATCTTTAACCCATTCCCATCCCATAGGAAAAAAGCTTCAAGCCTTTCAATTTCTATAACCACTCCACTAGGCATTTTGAACAAAGTTAGATAATAAATAGGAAGGCTAGACAGTACAAACTTAATCAAATTTAATCTACTTACAAAGGAGAGGAGCCTTCTCTTC